TCAAAATATCAATGTTACCAACAACCACTGGGGTGCCATCTACCACCTCTTTTCAGACTGTNAAAACAAAGTGCAATGGTGCTTGAATTGAGTTGAGAGACAGAGCTTGCAACTTTGTTGTTTATGTTGACCATGGAATGTGTCAACCATAGAGAATTCTTCATGTTTCCTCATGTGTTTATGTACAAGTAAGTTGATAGTTTTGTGTTTCCTTTGCAGTCACACCAATCAGGACACTTGCTTTCAAACAATAGGTTTGCAGTAGCCTTTATTATGAATGTTCACCCTACAGTCTGTTTTCTTTGATTTTTGAAGCTCATCATTTGGCATGATTGTGTGAACACTAATTTGACTGTCATCAATATTTTCATCTGTTCAGAGAATTTTTCCAAGCATTCTCAAACTGCTTTCTCTAGTATCGTCTGGTACTTTGTTGGTATTGAATTCAATATGTTTTAGTGTGAGTACCTGCTGATCTCTACCAGTAGACCTTCTTACTGCAAAGAATATCACTTGAATACCAAATGACTGCTTTTTTTGGATGAGGATATCTATAAAGTCTTTTAGCTATGGAGGTTCTTCTCTTTAATATTGGAGTGACAATTCATGATGAGAATGACTGGATTTTTCAAGCCTTACCGCTACATAGTACTATTTGTTGGCTGTAGAATTTGAACTAGTAAATCTACATGATATGTGCTCTGTACTTTTTGTGTTACTACTGCCAAACAACAACTACTACTCTGCCTTTGTTAAACAGCTGGTCCTGCATCCATCAACCCCCCCAGGAGGGAGGAGGTACTGACCCTCCAAGCAGCTAGGATCATTATTCTCCCCAGAGGGTCTGGTTTTGGCCCCCTTAGCCTTTGTCCTACTAGTTTACAAGTGCAACCTGGATAAACTTGGCTCATTTTTTCAATCAATTGACAACTTTAGCTCATTTTGGATTGCAGCAGTATTAGTCACCACCAGTAGCTAGGATAACAAGTAGTACACCTGCCATTACGTTTCACCTAACTAGTATATTTGCTGGCATAAAATGATGTGGACCAATCCAACTCACTTCATACTACAGTGAATATCATATGTAGTGGTATGCATGGTGGAGTACTTGTTATAGTTTCTTGTTGATGGTACGTAGGAAAATCCATACTGTCTACTACCTATGACCAGTAGTTCCTAGTAGGAGAGCTCAAGAACCCACTATGTCCTCCAATTCTTTTGGCAGTACCAAGCCAGCACTAGCATTTAAAGTTCATTAGCTCACAGCAGTAGAATGCTGAGTTTGCATACACACAGTGGTGCATTAGTACTACTAGTAGCAAACGAAAATGGAAGTACTACTAAATACTAGTCCTAAGATCAGGGCACCATAAAAACAAATGATCTACTAGATGGAGTTTCCTGATACTTTGTAATATTTCTTTTCTGACAAAGAAGCATCATCAAAAAAATGATATGAATAGGCTTTGTCTGCCATTCATTTTTTCTGCTTGAAATTTCATATTGGATTGAATGCTAGTAGCACTTCCACCAATAGTCTTAGTGATGCTATTTGAGTTACTAGTGCCTTGATTGTAGATTGATGCTCCTAAATTTCAAAATAACAGCAGACATGATACATTTCTTCTGCAGATTCTTGTTTTATTTGACATCTAAAGAGTTTCACCCTGCAATTCAGTTCTTCATAGTTGTAATCCATTCCCATCAAAATATCAATGTTACCAACAACCACTGGGGTGCCATCTACCACCTCTTTTCAGACTGTNCAATTCAGTTCTTCATAGTTGTAATCCATTCCCATCAAAATATCAATGTTACCAACAACCACTGGGGTGCCATCTACCACCTCTTTTCAGACTGTACTAGTAGTAGAAATGTAATTTTCCCAGTTTCCTTAAAATTTTGAATCCCAATTCCATACAGCTGGCTAGTAGTTCATTGCATGGCAGTTTGCCTGGCTGTTGCACTTATATTGATCTTAGATGCATTTTTTCCAAGGCAAATAAAAAATGATGCCAACCATAACATGAAAAAACATTGCATTGTATTGCCAAATCAAAGTTTGTTRTCATCATTTTTGTCCTGAGTACACGTTTCCAGTTTTGCTTTGGTTCTGATAGTWGGCTCATGAAAGCAGTTTCAAAATTTCTGAAATTAGTATGAGAAGAAAACCAAATGGTCTCATTCAATATGACACTAGTAACAATTTTAAATATCATAATTAATGGCACTATTTTTGAAAGGGGGACAAAGGAATCTCATTAAATCAGGAATGGTTTTCAGAATTTTGCAAGTCAACAGGGTTGTACTGCCACTAGGCAAATGTGTTAAGGCAATGGGAATTAATGTTTGTCAAAAACAGCAAAATGRCATTTTCYCTACAAGGGATGTCATGCCATGAAATGCTTTCGGGCTTTATGTGTTGGATGCAAAAACAAAGGAAATCCACCTAGTATCTACTTCTACGCCGAAAATAACCTAAATTGTTATATTTTTCACTAAATATTTTTGTCAAAGTTTCTACACGAAGACAAAGAGGTCCAGCAAGGGCGTCGTCATCTGGGTATTGAAGGTACAGTATCGAGATCTGGTCTAGTGCAGATAGTTTAGTGTATGGGCCACATAAAATAATCCAATYGACTACATATAATTGCATGATCGAATGATTTAATAATTATGCTTTCGCCATTGTTTTACTCGTTCTYGAATACTCATTTTTTGTTCTTATTTCTTGCCAAACCTTTTTTTTCTAGTTCTATGCCCCTTTCGCTCCGAAAGTGATTCCATGTCGCATCGTAAACAGTGTTGGAGTCGYTCTTATCGCAATGGTTGTCCTTATAGAATTTTGCGGCCTTATTGACTGCTGGGAAGAGCGAACAAATCATGAAGGCGTTCCGRTATCGTTGTATCTTGTCTTCACTTTTGTCCCATTTGTCAACGCGTCCATCTCCATAGTGAGAGAACCAGGTATCTTCTAAGATGTYCTTGGAAGGCAACTCAAGCAATGGATGCTCACAGCTCAATATATCGGTCGGGAACAAATATTTGTTGATGAAAAAGTCGCCGATCGAATATCGCTGGCAGAAATGAAGCACGTGCGGGACGGTTTCGGTGTACCGAGCCACGTCACATGCCTTGGAGTCCTTGGGTAAGAATGCCCATCCCTCCCCGCGCGTCATTTCTACGTTTGAAATCATCATTCCGCGGGCCATTTGGTGCCTCAGACCCAAATGAGCGGCCGCCATGCAGTATCCATACATCTCCGCCATRAAGACGGGGTGGTGCTTGAAAATGCCGGGCAAAAATTCCGTCCACTTGTAGCTGATACGAAATGCATCGCGGGCCGTCATCCAATACGGTGGCCCTGCTGCAAAGACGTACTTTGCATCTTCTTCTGTCACATCGTGAACGGGACTGTCCGGACCGACTATTTCCTCGAGATGCTCTTTGACCGGATTCAACCATTTCGATCCAAATGAATAATCTTGTCCTGCCGGATGGCCCTGTGTTACCTTGCCGATAAGTTCATCTCCGTGTCCATTCTTGCGATAATATGTATTCCATTGGTTTAAAGGTATATTTGTGAARTCGTTAACGAATGGACGCTGCATGAGCATATCTGGATCGACTAAGACAAYAATGTGGTCATCCCATTCTGGAACTGAGATCTCWGCGTCAKTGTCACTCCACACATACCCGAATCGATGTTCCATCCAGTGCCGTAGACCAAAYGGTTTGTTCCAGTACTTGGTTTGTTGGTAGCTAAATCCTTCCGATGAGAGCTGTTTTCCGAATTCAGGAGTAAAGTGCAGCAAAAACTTGGGGTTCATKATAGTAAATTGTTTCTCGTGGAGTTCTCTCATTTTCACTTCATCTTCGGGGCTGCATCCCGAAACAATCCTTGTCACATCACCCTTTTGTTCGTGGAGCATCGCATGGAAGAAAAACAAATAGGATTGCCAATCGTGGGACAAGGAGCACGCGGTGGAAAAAACAACGTGCATTTGGCTGGCGTCATCCTTCCCAGCATCCGCTCCTGTGGYTTTTGCAACATTCAGACTGCCACCACTTGCATTGGCCGTAGAAAATGCTCCGGATTTGATCTCRTAGGCACCGAAATTTGTTCCAACGATCAACCCCGTAATTATAACCAAAAATACCTTTAAGGCTGTAATCATTAGCTTCGTCCTTGCCATAGCTGCTCTCTGATTGACGAGAACACTCTTTGACAATGCAACCATCTTCTACTGTATCGCCCTTTTTATCTTGTGGTAAGCTTTTCGATTCTTTTTCCATTCCTTGTCCACATGGGGTTCAGTTTTGGACGCACGGTAGTGACACAAGTCAACGCTCGGTTTTTCCTATGACTTCAATACTGTACTTTCAAATTCAAATTGTACTTGCAGATAGCTCTTCCTCCAGGACAAGAAAAATTTAAAAAATTGACCGTGAACGAGGACATGCGTTCTGTGTTCTGTGTGTCGGTTCTAACCGGGCCTTAGTAGTACGTACTATATRTACATAGGTACCTTAATATCCCATGCAATGTTCGTAGAAGCAGGGGTCATAAATTTAGGACCCCTGCGTAGAAGATATAACCGATAACCGTACCGTAWGTACTTCACTTCGTAGTCATGTGGGGTCATAATATAGGAATGGGTCATTCCCGTAAGTAAAGTACAGTATTGTACTCGTGGTATGTTAWCCGTAATGTGCCTCTGCAGTATGGTACAGTACATTTTTTTGGCATCTCAGTTGTACTTGTACAGGTACCCGTACATAATTGTACGAGGCTCGGTACGGTAGAAACAAACCATGAGCAACTTCGCCGTTCTTTCGTCGGGACAGCAGGCGCTGCGCTGCGTGACCTAATTCTTTAAATACAAAGCACCGTACTACGATACATACTACGAGTACTATTAACACAGGGCCTTGATTTCTCAAATAGTGCTTACGATATTCATGACTCATAAGCCTTACGAGTAGAATAGATTAGCTGCCTGTACTTGTGTACTTTACGATAAGTTGTTCTAATGAAGACAAAAAATGAAAGAAGTCCAAAATAGAACAACGCGGGGCATTCTCTACCGTTGAATTGAAAATCTGATCTTTCACCATCGGCGCCGGAAGAACTGAATTTGTTGCTGTCTCCGAAGAATTTCAATCAATTTCTTGGATGAACCATGCTGAAATGATGGAGCAATACTCAGAACAGGGTCAAAATATTATGAACAGTGCAGGGCAGGGAATTTGCGATGAGAGCAGATGCGTCTCGAGAGCTTTGCCTGGACGCTACAGCAACAAGTCCTTTACATGCTATGGTGACGAGAATGGAGAATACTATCCAATGATGTGCGCCGATGGATACGAGCCGTGGGTCGTTGATGTCGTTGATAAGGAACTGTCCGTGGAGGWAAACTCGTATCCTCCCTGGTTGATCAATATGATAGACCATTTTCCGATAGATAAAAGTACTTTGGGAGATATCTCTCTGAAGTACTTTACGTGCTGTCCGCCGGGTAGGCAACTATCGGATGCAAATCTGACTCGACACTGTTCAGATCCGATTAGCTCCACGATAGATAGCGAGAACACAACGATGATTTGTGACAACAATACMCATCCCCATTCTCATAGAATGGAACCTCGTTTGGACGGAAACAATGAATGGGCAGGCAACTCTTACGTGTGTTGTGACTCTGCCACTACCAACGGAACAAACCCAACATCAAACTTCTTAGACGAGGCAAAATGTGTTCCCTACCACGATAGATATTATACCTATGAACTTGTTCGCAACCGCTATGGGAAGATTGTTCCATTATCCTGCACCGACCCAGATTTTAAATTCCCTCGCCAAGTGGAAAAAGAAATTTCCGTTCCGGGATCAGATGGAAAGCTGTTGGTCTGGRGTTGGGAATGCTGCAMGACAGGATCTCCATCCGTGTTGATAAAAGACTCKGCATTCAACACTACAATATACCCACAGCTTGCGCTATCTTGTGTGTCAGTTATTCTCTCGATGACTATCATATTAGGTTTGTTGATTCCTCTGTTGGTGGCTATCAAGAACGAGAGTGAAAATAACGGATCAATGCGTTCACGAAGTTCTATGAGCCTGAGGTCATCAACAGCGGCTTTTGGAGGATATGTCACATACAATATGTATTTGCTTTTTCTGGCTATACCTGATTTCGTGGCCAATTTATTCTTCGTTATAGTTTATGGGAGTTATGCAAAAAACGGAACTGCGGATTTCCAAACCAACGTCATTTCCACATTTCAYGATAACAGACTTGCCCTGATGAATGAAACAGGTCTGATGCTCTGGTACGTAAGTACAAACTCATACATAAATGCAATTGTRTGTTACGAGCTGCTTGGGTTGCTACGGAATTGTTTCAAACGACGAAGATGTGCGCCACCAAGCAAAAAGAAGGTGGCTTTACAGGCAGCAACGGCGAATCTCCTCTCCGCTGTTCCGCCTTTCAYTTGGTGGCTCTACTGCGTCTTAACATTTCAGGCTGAAGAAGAAGTGGAGGGTTCTTCTGAAAGGGATGAAMGAACACGCCATGTTTGGAATCTGCTGATGGTCATATCGGTGATACTGCCCTTTCTGTTTGTTTGTTACACGGGAATAACGATTTGGAGGAATGGCTATATGAAGTTTCAAAAAATAACACCTTGTGGAGCGATATCGGCAAGAGACAAAGCTTTCAAACAGTTGGCGTACTATTTTTCCCGAATCATTCTGATCTTTATTGTAGTATGGGTTCCGATGATTAGCCTTTCGATGATCCCAAGCTTCTACTATAAGGAAAGTCCCGAGGGAACTGCCATCATACTCCTGCTATTGGCCATTCAGCCAATAGTGTCGTATTGTCTGGTCCTGACAAAGCCCGATGTAAGGCAATCCATATTCGACCTTTTRACGCTATCCTGCTTTCGACCCRATACCATGGCTCAACAYCATCTGGCTAGTACGAATAGCATGGGCGGCATCGCATCGACGAATAGCATTAGCGGCATCGCATCGATTCGGTAACAAAATGGGGACGAATTGTCCAAATCTCACGAAAATAGTTTGTTTCCGACGTGACCGGAACAAATTCAGTTTGTCAGCTGTGCCACAACATCTGGTATGGATGGATACGACTAGCAACTAGTGAAGAAATATGATTTCCAAGGGGTGATTCGCCCTATTAGCCGCGAGTTGTTCCTTACTYTTAAAGTAAATGCAGAACATGTCGATTGAATTSAAAAACATTTTCGTATGCAACACGTCGTCATCAAASGACCATCATCAGGGAATGAATCATAGTAGCATTATTTGGATTAAAATTGACGAAATTATWTTCCATRCACCCAGTTTCATTTAATACAATATAAAGATATTGCAAACTCCTAACGAATCAGTGACATCTATCATGACGAAGATCTTCCCCGAAACGATATTGTCAAGCTTAAAAGTCCTSTCATCTCATAAAGTAATTGTATTTCATCCGTAAAACTTCGGGCTTCCAATCGAAGTTGCTCAACTGCTGAAAGTTATGRAATTTCTGAGTAGAATTTGGCAATCGCTATGMTCTTTGACTGCCATGGGCTGATTGTGGATTGCGTCTGAAGACATGATGCTAAGGCTATTGCTTGGATCGCTGCTTCTTTTCGGCTTGGACAATCGGTCCCATGTCTGGCCCCAAGTCAATATCATCTGGGTCTTGCATCTTTAAATGCTCCGCAAATCCCTTTGGATAAATATAAGTGCCCGTCTTCAAATCCCAATTATGATCTTTTCCGGCATCGCGACTTCCAGAATTGTTGAAGGCTCCCCGTCGGACCTGGGCGGCCGTCAGGGGATCGTCTCGATCGGTCAGGTTGCCGATTTTCTTAGTCGCGAAATAGGGCAGCGTCGCGGCCGCACCGACGAACCCGACGCATCCCATCAACCAATACTGCGCGGATTTGGAACGCTGACCACCAACGGCCTCGAGGCGTTTGTGTTTCCGTCGGAGATGATCGGCGCTTTGTTGCGAAAAAGATGTCGAAGCCGACGGCGGTGGCTTGACGTGGCGCAGGAGTTCTCGTCGGACCTCCGGAGGAAGGTTTTTAAAGGCCTTGGATGCCATTGGATTCTTCAAGTGMGATGTGCTTGCTTTCGTAACTACTACTTGTTTGTATCCATCGGTACAAGTAGGACTGTTCAGAAAGTGTTCTTCGATATTCGATGAAGTGTTGCTGATGAAAAAAATTGAGAAAAGAATGTGACTTCTTACCACTGTACACTTCGTACTGTATTGTAATACGATAAGGTACGTATGTGAAGTACGAAGTACGACTTCGTTTTCAGTTCGTGTTTCGTGAAACAACTTTTGAGAAAACGAAAAATATCAATGGAATATGGAATGCGAGATGATTTTCATTCGTTACAACCAAGGGATGAATGAATGAATCATCTTCTTCGTCCGCCATTTGTACGTCTGACGCTAACATCGTCATTGGCTATTTTTTTGTTTTGTACCGTACTTACGTACGAGTGATCTAAGGACTAACCGTAACTGTAAACAGCAAGGAGTATCATTCATCAACGGCTACTCATGCACAGTACGTACGTCGTACGTGATCTCGACTGCAGTATCCGGTTTATGGTAAACACAGTGCTCGTATTTTTGACATGAAATCAACGACCTCGCRATGAGAATGCGGCTGAAACCACCAGTACAGAGTCCAGTACCACTTCTACGACAAGGTTCGCGCCCTTATCTGTTCGGACGAAAACTCTGCCKATGTCACGAGAACATCCCGAAGGATTCCGATTTTTTGTGCGACGGAATCTCAAAATTATCGTACGGTACGTTATGAGAAAGTCGCATCTGTCGGTTTTTCCAGAAGACCCCGCATCAAACATCTCTCTCAAGTGCCAGTCATTGAGTTCTCACAACCAATTCTCCACCGACACACAACCTGTGATTCACTGTCCCACCATGTCTAACACCGCACGTTCTGTMGCAACCAAACTATTTGACCTTACCGGGAAGGTCGCCATCGTGACCGGAGGCGGAACCGGCATCGGAGCTGGTTTGGCCCAGGGAATGGCCGAAGCCGGTGCCAAAGTCGCTCTCGTCGGACGCCGGGCCGATCGCCTCGAGGAAACCGCCACAARCATCAACGAGGTTGTCGGAGAAGAGCGCGCCTTTTCCCTCCCCGCCGACGTTCTSAAGTACGACGAACACCCCGAYCTGATCCTGAAGGCCCAGAGCATCACTGGAGGAGGACCTCCGCCCACYATCCTTCTCAACAACGCCGGCATCAACGTCCGTCAAAAGGCCGAGAACCTCACACCCGAGCACTGGACGGTCAGTCTCGATCTGATGCTGACGGCCCCCTTCTTTTTGGCCCGGGCTATGTCGGACGCCATGAAGCAAGAAAAGTACGGCCGAATCATGAACATTGCCAGTCCCCAATCCTACCTGGCCTTCCCCGATTCCATTCCGTATGCCGCCGCCAAGTCCGGAAATCTCGGCTTGGCTCGCGCCATGGCGGAGTACTTTGCTCCCTACCACGGATTCGAGAATGTCACCGTCAACAACATCTCTCCCGGGTACGTCAAGACGGAATTGACCGAATCGGTCTTTGCGGACACCGAACGGGCCGGACGATTGGCCCAGCGTACATTGATTGGAAGAAACTCGGTCCCCGACGACATGGTCGGAACCGTYGTTTACTTGTCTTCGGAGGCCTCTAACTACGTCACGGGGCAGACCATTCCMGTCGATGGAGGATTCACCGCTCTTGGATTGCGATAGTAGACTTAMTTCTTGAAYTCACGAAGAGTGAATCGAGAGAAGGGTCACGACAACGGCGATGTGTCGTGCCCATTCGTCGCAAGCGCTCTACGGATGAAGCTTCTAGTACATAAATTCATGTTAAATCAAGTAGTAGGACGAAGCTACTCTATGTAAGAAAGTTAAAAAAAGAAGTACAAGTACTACTCAATACCGTTTTGTAAGAGACATGAGGAAATTCATGACAAATCTATAGCATTCAGAAACCCGATGATTACCAATGAACAATTTGAACAATTTCATTGGTGTACTAGTTTTAGTTGGCCGTGACACGAACGCAAAAAGAGGCTTGACGCTGCGGGTTTGAGTGGTGATAGCATCATAGTGGAACGACTTTTCCCACCGGTGACACGATCGGTACGACATAATCGATCGAGCCCTTGATCGTTTGCAATTATAGCTTTCTCTATGGACGGGAGTCCGAAATCGACTAAGAAATAGATACCAGTACCTACCAGGCTTCTGATTTGGTTCAACCGTTCGTGGYAAAATGCTGGTAATGGTAATTGTTAAAATTGTTTTGTATGGATTATGACGCATGGAACTGATTCTACACAGATGTAAAAAATGACTTCCAGATTTGGATGGGAACACGAGGGCTTGGTTTGAAAACGATGTTTCTGAATACTCTACTACGACCAAAGCCGTTGAACGTTCAAGCAAATGATCGATCTTGTTGTAATTGTAACATACTACGGTTGATCAAGACAATAACCTTTCTTCTGTTCGACTGGGAAAATGATGCCGTATTGAATTGAGAGCGATACTGTCGTCAGCACCATCCGATGCATTCCCGCGCAAATTGGCGTTTGCGTCAACATTTCTATCGGTGGCCTGAGGTCTATCAACCAAGGGCAYCGAAAAAGCAGATAGAAARACGTCTTGTTTGTATTGCTCAAAGCGCAATTTCGCAAAAAGGTAGGCACTTGCAATGGACATCACGAAATAAACCCCAAGAACCGTGAATCCAATCGGCCTTTGRRTTTCCGGATTGGGCATTGAAAGAACCTCGACAACRCAAACAAGAGCAAGAACAATGATAGTCACAACGAGAGCTATTCCTACCATCGAAACTGACTTGTAGTATTTGCGTTTGTCACTCTTTGTCTTCCCCCYAATTCTAATCTGTTCCAAATGTGACTCAATTAACTCAGGAGTGCAAGCGGACTTTGGTTCCCCCTTCAACAAAATTAAGTCAATGTCGCTATCAATCSCTTTTGGGTTGGTTGTTTGGAACCATCGAAAGTATTCAGTATCATCATTTCTCGGAATATATGAGCTCGTCGTACTCCCYTTCATTGCATGTTTGAATTGTCTGTAATTTTGACCTTCWTTCCTATTAGGAGGAAGGCTTCTGCTGCGGTATGTTTCCACCTCTTCAATCTCAAGGAYATCGGGAGCGCAGGAATTGACAGAAAAAGAGTTGGCACAATTTATCACCATTTCATTCTCTATTGGATTGCAACACATGGGAGAATTCGGACTTTCTTTGGGGACGGTATAGACAACCAACATACGATAGTCGGTGTGTTGTTGTTCGGAACTTGCACACTCCATCCCTAACTGCTGCCGCTGTCGCTCRATGTCTTCTTCTCTGACGTAGTCCGTAATGCTACTAGCGTACCCCTCTGCTTTCACCCCTGTCTTCGACTTTGGAAGTACCGAAGCGACCTTTGGTGCCTTCCTATTCTTCTTCCTGTATTGTTTGCGTCTTGTCTCAGATGCGCATACCGCGAGTGGTTTGCAAGTTAAGACTCTCCCGACACGATGTTCCGTATTAGTTGGCCGCGAGTACTGTTTRACRAAGTGATAGGAAGCAAATTGGTGRAAGTACATGCCAACTAAACCAAATATGCATAATCCCAATCCCACAAGGTAACGAACCAAATCGAACCATTCTTCGACTATAACGTCATGAACTCGTTGCTTTTCTTCGGCATCTTCATTGTAACTATCAGAATCTTCGCCAACTACTCCGTCAATTTTCAAGGCTAAAATGAAAAATGATACAGCTATTAAAAAGCAGTTCGAAGTAGTGCACTTGGTGGAGGGTGGAAGCGAGATTTGAGTGACCCGCCTTTGTTTTTGCCACATGGAGATGTTCTCGATAGAAGAAACAACGTTGTTGGTTAAAGGCTCAAATGTATTGTGTAGTTATCGAAAGACAATGGACAATTATAACGACATATTCTTTCAGTCTTCATTCACAGACAATTGAGATMGCTGGAATGCTTTAGGAAACATAAATCCGCTTCTTGTTCTTCGTGTTCACCAACGAAGGTGCTGTCAGACGATGTGAAATACGAAGTAATTCTTATTTATGGTTGAGGCAAGTGTTCATAGAGATTTTCTTGTGCCTAATTATTCACTTCCACAGCCTGGTTGAACTGTCGGCCGTTGAGATGCGATTGTGACTTCTAATTCAATCAGCGGCACGTTCCAGTGCAGATTATCGTTCGTCGTCAACTCAGCTAAATATTATTTTGTCTGTAACATGCTATTAGGGCTCAAATTGTGACGYAAGGCACCTCAACCGTTGCATTCCGACATGTGCTTATTTATTGTATTTAAGGAGSTGTCATGATAGTGATACCTACAGCGAAAGTGAACAAGCACGTGTATCTAGCGAACAAAGTCGGCAAAATGTCGAAAGTGCGCGCAAAATGCGACTTCATGCCGAGCAAACGTTGCCGGTGCCTTAGTTCCGAGCGATACCTCGCCAAACATAGAAGTACTTCAAATTCGATACTACTCTACTATCCACAAGTAAACCACTATCTACCSTGCTGATGGTATGCTGGCGCGCTACGTTGTCATAAAGTAGCGGGTATAGTACAGTATACTGGTATTAAATAGATATAAAAAATAATTTATGGGTGATTCCCGTTATTATATGTGCTACTTTTGATAGACTGACAGACCGAAAATTTAGCACATTTATAACAAAAATTTATTATGTTTGATGAGCTYGATTGACCCTCATCAAAAGCAATAAATTTTATGATGGAACTCCCAATTCAAAATTTCAAGTCCGTTGAAAGACTCTGAAAGACTCAACAGAAAGCCCGCCAGAATCTTAAGACAGAACTCGACAAAATTAAGACTATTTTTTCTAAACAATCTCCTCCTAAACAACGAGACAMGAGCATGCGCCACCATGGCTATCAACAAAATTTGGAGGCGCCTCTATTAAGAATGGCGCCAAGGGACATGAAAGTATGTCTCGGTAAGTGCTGTTACTAGTGAGTGTAATCTATTTCCTTTCTTTGTTGGAGCAAAGAGAGCAAAATGGAGACAAGCAATACAAGGAGGAGGATGCGGCCGGCATACTCAACAGCACCAAAGAGAGAACTCATTGTTGCCCAACCGGCCTGGACCATTGTCCCATCCCCCACACAATCTTTCTATTGAACACAAAGTTGGCCGGTAATGGCAACAGCAACAGTGGCCGCAAGGCTGGAGTAGCAAACTACACTCATGATGAGCTAAACAGTCTCATTGGCATGATAGTAGTTGACAGGGTTCCCATTAGTAATGATGAGTGGGATTGCATAGTTGCTGACCACGCAAACTCGTGGCCCTTCTTCAGAACCAGGACATCCATCAAGACTAAGTATGCAGCCATAAACAGGATCAAGAGTTCCACCACTGGAAACCCAAACATGCCAGAGTATGTGAAGATGGCCCGGCTAGCCCACGTGTTGATTGGTTGGCGGGTAAATCTTGGTACTGGAGAGGAGGACTTTGATCTGATGGAAGGCTATGTTAAAAGCAAGGCTGTGGAGGGTTCAGCGCCCACCAAAACTGCCAGTATTCTTGCTGAAGTGGAAGAAGAAGAACCAACAATTGTTCTTTCTGGAGAGGAAGACTAAGATGATGATCCTCCTGCCGTTGGTGGAGAGACACCAGCAGCTGGTTCAGTCTCAATGCCTTCACTTGTTGCAAAAGCATCCACAACCCCTATTGCCAAGAAAAAGCCTACCAGCAGAAGAAATCAAGCGTCCCCCATGCTGCAGCATTCACTGACTTCATTAAGAACCACGAGAAAAGAGAGGAAAGCAACCTTGAGATCTGGAAGGATGCGTTTGGTACTGCAGAGAAAGTAGCAAAGGATTTTCTTGGAGCTGCTGTTGGCATGTTCAATACTTGGCATCAGCAGCAACAGCAGCAACTACAATCTTTCCAGCAACAATCTTACCATGGTCCTCCTCCGCAACATTCATACGCCTCTCCTTGTTATGTTGCTTCCGCGCGGCTGCAGCAGCCTCCATACGTTGCTGCTTCCACACCACAGTCCCCTCCTCTGCGCAAACAGTAGCGTCGCAAACCCCATGGTGGTGAGGAGAAGGAATCCTATGGTGAGGACAAGGAAACAGGCATTCTTTAGTAACCAATAATTAAACTTAAACTAAACTGCTTACACAATACTACCGCTACTAGTAGAGTAGTAACTGAATAAAATGAGCTCACTAGCTTGCTTGAGCAGTATACAATGACGGTTCTTTGCCTTTTGGGATGCTGTAGATGGCAGTACTTCTTGTTCCACCAGTTCCTATCGATTTGTGGTTTTCATGTATACCTTCTGTGCAACTCACCCAGGATTACATTCTACTATGCATATACTGTAATGAAGAATATTCATTCTTGAACTAAGATGGAGCAATGCTTTTAAAAGTAGCATACACCAGTTATGAGGACTGAGGGAATAGGAATGCATGTGGCTGCCAATAAATGACAGCCGTTGAGTGATGCAAACTCTCTTTCTAATCCTGTTTTTGATACCTGAAAACCTGGGTTCTACTGCATTTCCGTAGAAGCTGGTACAATAACAACAACAGCAAATACTGCAACAGACACACCAGGAATANGCTATGTTAAAAGCAAGGCTGTGGAGGGTTCAGCGCCCACCAAAACTGCCAGTATTCTTGCTGAAGTGGAAGAAGAAGAACCAACAATTGTTCTTGCTGGAGAGGAAGACTAAGATGATGATCCTCCTGCCGTTGGTGGAGAGACACCAGCAGCTGGTTCAGTCTTGATGCCTTCACTTGTTGCAAAAGCATCCACAACCCCTATTGCCAAGAAAAGAGCCTGCCAGCAGAAGAAATCAAGCGTCCCCCATGCTGCAGCATTCACTGACTTCATTAAGAACCACGAGAAAAGAGAGGAACGCAACCTTGAGATCTGGAAGGATGCATTTGGTACTGCAGAGAAAGTAGCAAAGGATTTTCTTGGAGCTGCTGTTGGCATGTTCAATACTTGGCATCAGCAGCAACAACAGCAACTACCATCTTTCCAGCAACAATCTTACCATGGTCCTCCTCCGCAACATTCATACGCCTCTCCTTATGTTGCTTCCGCGCGGCCGCAGCAGCCTCCATACGTTGCTGCTTCCACACCACAGTCCCCTCCTCTGCGCAAACGATAGTAGCGTCGCAAACCCCATGGTGGTGAGGACAAGGAATCCCATGGTGAGGACAAGGAAACAGGCATTCTTTAACCAATGATTAAACTTAAACTAAACTGCTTACACAATACTAGTACTACCGCTACTAGTAGAGTAGTAACTGAATAAAATGAGCTCACTAGCTTGCTTGAGCAGTATGCAACGACGGTTCTTTGCCTTTTGGGATGCTGTAGATGGCAGTACTTGTTCCACCAGTTCCTATCGATTTGTGGTTTTCATGTATACCTTCTGTGCAACTCACCCGGGATTACATTCTACTATGCATATAGTACTGTAATGAAGAATATTCATTCTTGAACTAAGACGGAGCAATGCTTTATAAAGTACTAACATACACCAGTTATGAGGACTGAGGGAATAGGAATGCATGTGGCTGCCGATCAATGACAGCCGTTGAGTGATGCGAACTCTCTTTCTAATCCTATTTTTGATACCTGAAAACCTGGGTTCTACTGCATTTCCGTAGAAGCTGGTACAATAACAACAACAGCAAATACTGCAACAGACACACCAGGAATA